GAAAAGTTTCTTGAAATATAGATGGATGTTATTCTTGTCAAAATCTAGTTAATGAAAGAGACGAAAAAAGGTATATTGTGAATAAAATGTCATTTAGAGAATTTTTTTTATATGAAAGAGAAATAATATTTGTGAATAAAATATAATTCTTGGGTCAAAATCTAAAATAATATTCTGAAAAAAAATGATGAAGTGAATGGTTGTATTTATTCAAAATCTATTACAATCAGTCACACAGAATTCATAATCCAAAACAACCTGAGCAATAAAATAATAGAAGTAAAAGAAAGATGAAGAGCAAAAGTAAAAAGAAGAGCAGAGTAGATAAAAAGAAAAGAATCACACAAAAAAAAACATAAGAGCAGAGTAGATAAAAAGAAAAGAATCACAAACAACAACAACAAAAAACATAACAAGATCATAATACCTTTATCCGATAACATGGAGAACAAAACACCTACTACAGGAAGTGTTTTTGGCCCCGGGATTTCCTTGGTAGCACTGAGGCACCGGGCGAAGGTGACACGGGATGTGCCATGACAGAGAGCTGCAGCAGGAGGACTCTGTGGCACTCCGCGTGAAAGGAGGGACCGGAACAGTGCCATTCTTCGTCTTCCTGTGAAAAACCGTAATGGAATGAGATTGAGTGGAATGAGGGAGAGGAGTGGATGGCAGGAGTGTGGAACAGAATGGAGGAAAGGGGAGGGGTGGGGAGGGGAGGCAGGGAAGGTGGAGGGAAGGAGTGAAGTGGAGTGGAGAAAAGGAAGTAGGAAAGGAAGTAATGAGTGGAGTGAGGGGAGGGAATGGAGTGGAGGGAAGGGAAGAGGAGGAGAACAAGGGAGTGGTGTGGAGGGAGGGAGGAGAGGGTAGAAAGGGGATGGAGTGAAGTGGAGTGGAGGAGTGGCAGAGAGGGATGGATGGAGGGAAGAGAGGGAATGGAAAGAAAGAAGGATGGAGGGAGGGAAGGGAGGAAAGGGAAGAGGGATGGGGGAGGAAGGAGAGGAATGAAAGAGGGAGGGAAGGGAGGAAAGAGATTAAGGAGGAGGGAGGGGAAGGAGGGATGGAGGAGGGAAGGGAGGAAGATGGAAAGAGGGATGGAGGGAGGGAAGGGAGGAAAGGGAAGAGGGATGGAGGGAGGGAAGGGAGGAAAAGGGGAGAGGGATGGAGGGGAGGGAAGGGAGGAAAGGGAAGAGGATGGAGGGAAGGGAGGAAAGGGAAGAGGGATGGAGGGAGGGAAGGGAGGAATGGAAAGAGGGATGGAGGGAGAGAAGGGAGGAAAGGGAAGCGGGATGGAGGGAGGGAAGGGAGAAAGGGAAGAGGGATTAGAGGGAGGGAAGGGAGGAAAGGAGGGGATGTAAGGGAAGAGGATCGTGGGGAGGGAAGGAGGAAAGGGAAAGAGGGATCGTGGGAAAGGGAGGAAAGGGAAGCGGATGGAGGGAGGGAAGGGAGGAAAGGGAAGCGGGATGGGAGGGAGGGAAGGAGGAAGGGAAGAGGGATGGAGGGAGGGAAGGGAGGAAAGGGAAGAGGGATAGAGGGAGGGAAGGGAGGAAAGGGAAGAGGGATCGAGGGAGGGAAGGGAGGAAAGGGAAGCGGGATGGAGGGAGGGAAGGGAGGAAAGGGAAGAGGGATGGAGGGAGGGAAGGGAGGAAAGGGAAGAGGGATGGAGGGAGGAAATGGAGGAAAGGGAAGAGGGAGGGGAGGGAAGGGAGGAAAGGGAAGAGGGAGGGAAAGGGAAGAGGGTGGAGGAGGAAAGGAAGAGGAGGAGGAAAGGGAAAAGGGATGGAGGAGGAGGGAAGGAAGGAAAGGGGATGGAGAGGATGGAGAGAGAGGGAGGAAAGGGAAAGCGGGATGAGGAGGGAGGAGGAGGAAGGAAAGGGAAGAGGGAGGGAGGGAGGAGAGAGAGAGAGAGAGAGAGAGAGAGAGAGAGAGAGAGAGAGAGAGAGAGAGAGAGAGAGAGAGAGAAGAGAGAGAGAGATTTTTGACTTTGACGTTTATTGAGACAAAAAAGTAAGATTACATCTCAAAAGGATGAGGTAACAGGTTATCCTCACCCTTACTTAATAAGTCCCTGTGCGGGCTCACAATTCATTATACAAAGTTTAGGTACAATAATATTTATAATTAAATACAACACTTAAATTATAAAGAATTACAAGCATTACAAGAATTCAGAGTCATTGGCTTACATATCTTTAAGGTGATATAACACCCACCCTCATCCAGATAAGTCCTCTCCTGGGCTTACATAATCAAAAACAGCGCACAAAAATATGCGCACGCAATATATAATTATAATCCCGGAGAAGAGATGAATCAATTGTTGAGTGGAATTGTATTTCAGGAGAATGATGCCTAACATACGCCATTCATCAACAGTAAAGTAGGAGACATAGTCTCGGCAGAAGTAACAGCCTACATACCTATGCATATTTGCGAGGTATGTTTATGATATTGGTGCAAATTGCCTGTACCTCTTCAAAATCTCGAATACCTGACCGCTCCTAATCATCCATACAGCTTGTTCAGGTAAACCTGTCACATCTGCATTTCTATGTGTCTGAAACATAGAACACTGTAATAGATAATGCGTCAATGTATGTGATCTAGGTAAACTACACACCCTGCATTCTTTTTCTTTCTCGCTTGCTGGAACGCCTAACTCCCAATAGTATTTATATCCAAGCCTGATTCTCATGTACACACTGTCTTTCCATTTGCTCTTGCCCTTCCCATAAGCAAAGTCTGTGTTCGTCGCAAGATGCATATAGTATCTCAGAGTATCGCTTTTCCTAATCGCTTCGCCCTTCCTGGCCTCGTCATAGTCTAACTGCGTCCTCTTGATATTGCTCTTTGCCTGTTTAAGAGTCCGCATGCAGTGAATGTCTACCTCATGCTTCCTGGTCGCCCCCTTGGCGATCTCATCAACAGCTTCATTGAAGGTGACACCTACATACAAAGGGATCCACACAAATGCAATCACACGCCCCTGACCTCACAACCTATGAGCTATCAAACGACACTCGCCAATTATGTGGTCAAACACAGGGTTCTTGCTGTTAAGTGAGTCCAGTGCTCCCCTGCTGTCCACAAAGTAGGAATCCTTATTAATGATTTCAATCTCTTTAAGCGCCGTCAGTATTGCCCATTCAGTTACCCTACTGCTCACACACGATCACTGTCTTTGAGCGCTTGTTTATCACGGGGGTTTCCTCTCCAGAATTACAAAAAGGTAGTCAGCGCTGTCTACGGTCGGTGTGTAGAGTAGATGGGTAGTGTATGTAGAAAAGTATGGATGAGAATGAATACCTTTACAATACAAGAGATGTATTTGACCGGTTTCGAATATATCTTTGTCAGAAATACATAGACAGAGAGAGAAAGAGAAGAGAGAGAGAGAGAGAGAGGAGTGTTTATTTCTGACGAAGATATATTCGAAACCGGTCAAATACAACTCTTCTATTGTAAAAATATTCGTTCTCATTCATACCTTTCTACATTTGTCAACATGAATACGATTCATAGATGGATATTGTCTCCCTCGACTCATTCAAGAGACGGCATAGTCCAGGTCAGAGGTCAGGGACGAGAGGGGTGTGGTCTAAGCACGTTCCAGAGTGGCAGCTGATCGGGTCATCATCTGCTGGCCGAGGCAAAGATAAGGTCAGCCGCGCTTGGTCAGTCCCATAGCGGAGTAAGATCATCTGTCCTGCTGCTTGGAAGGCATTTTAGCAAGTCTTCGAGCCTCGTCGTCCTCGCCAGGCACTGCCCACAACCTCTTGCCAGTTACGTTACCAACCTCGTACCAAGTAATCTATTCTCTAACCAAAGAAGTTCCCTATCCACCCTTCGTCGAGGGCTGCCTCTCGGAGGTGGGAAGACCTGGCAGAAGCACGATTAATATGTGTGGGTACACCTATTATTGGTCGGGCCGCAGCGATGGTCACTATCACAGAGTGTAGCCATAACCATCTCCAGCAGCCTTCAGCCCTCGGTAGTAGAGGCTACTCCGGTCGATGAGCGTATATTAGTTTTGGGACCGAGGCTTGCATTTGGCTTCATGTCTCTTATTGCTGTATATGCTCCTACTGATGTTTTACACCAAACTTACATCTGTGTTGGACAGATGTCCAGATGTCCAGAACTTTGTGAGGTCCCAGAAACAGGATTTCTGGCCTTTGGTACCAATGCTTTGACCCACAACGCTGGGCATGGTAGAGCGATGTGAGTAATGCAGCCAAGGAGATGGACCACATCCTCGTTAGCACTCACTGGAGGATCCTCCAGATCTGCAGGGTATATCAGAGTGCCCAGTTCTGCGGAACTGATTATAGATTAGTTGTTGCTACTCTCCGAGTCCACTTCAAAACTCCCCGTCAGTCCAATGATCATCCTGAAATCTGAATGAAAGAGGGGAAGTGTGTCCGGGGGTTTGTGGACACTATCATCGTTCCGCAGCACTCAGCAACCCGACGAACCCTGTACTTCTGTGGGACACCTTCAAGCGTAAAACACTCGATGCAGCTCAAGAATCTACTAGTGAACGCCCGGGAGCAACACAGAATTCCATCTCGCTGGAAACACTAGAAGCCACAGATACTCTGAGAGGAGATCGTGACGCAACGTTCCCTGGTGCGCTGAACTTGGTCACTGCTAAGGAGGGACAAGGAACATTTCATCAGGAATCTTGCAGAGAAGGTCGGTCATTTCTTAAGAAAGGTGAACTCCATGCCCTCCTCACAGGCGACTGCAGTCCGCTCAGTAAGTGGCCAGATCGTCTCAGACCCTGTTGCGGTGCTGAAGCGTTGGGCTTAATATTCTAAGCAGCTGTTCCAGGTTTAATAACAAACAGTTACCTTGGAATAGGGTAGTGTCGAGATCCATGAGCCGGACCCACCCATCAGCAAAGATCCACCCTCCCTAACTGCAGTTACGGAGACCGTCCCAAAATATAAGGGTAGTAGGTTAATGGGGAGGGGGAAATGGGAGGTGAGCGGGGTAAAAAAAATTAAATGATAAAAACTGTTTTACCAGCTCTTCAACTTTGGATGTATTGTATATTTTAGCCTTCCACCTATAAGGATCCCTCATGGCAAGCCGCTAGGCAGGGACTTGGCCCATCTCGAGCTCCTCACAATAGGTTTGATCGATGTGCCCAAGCCACGACCTCCTAAGTCGTCCCAAAGGCCTCCACCCAGGGTTGTCTCGAACAGAGACAACCTGGTGGGCAGGATCATCCTGTGGGAAGTGAGCAAGGTGGCCATATAGCCTAAGTTGCCGATCACGGATTGTGCAGGTAACAGGTCCTGTGCTAGTCTCACGGTGCAACTGTTGGTCGAACACATGGTCCCGCCAACAGTACCCCATGATCCGACGCAATGACCTATTGCAAAAGGCATCAAGACGAGACTCCAAGGCACAGGATAATGTCCAGGTTTCACTACTGTATAGGTAGTGAAAACCCGTAGCTTGGTCCTTCTACACAGGTACCGGCATCTCCAAATACTCTTGTCGAGAGAGTTCATGACTCCAGCTGCCAAGCCAACCCGTCTGCTAGATATGAACTACACTACCAAGGTATGTGAAACTCTCTGGGACTTCAATGTCCTCGCCGCAAGCACATACCAACCGAACAGGTTCTAGTAAGTCCCCAAAGTCCTGGATCTTGGTCTTGGTCCAGGAGACCTCTAGACCCAAGGGCTTCGCTTCATTACTAAATGCACCCAGAGCCACAATTACTGTTTCCAAAGACTCAGATAAAAAAAAAAGTAACATCATCGGCAAAGTCAAAGTCTGTAACCTTGATATTGCCCAGAGTTGCTCCACAACGGCTTTGAACAGTAGCTCTGCCCAGTATCCAGTCCATGCAAGTGTTGAAAAGTGTAGGTACAAGGACACAGCCTTGCCTCACACTTGAATTCATAGGGAAGAAGCTCGTCAGGCCCCCGCCACTTTACAGTACTTTCAGTACCAGTATACAGGCTTCTTATTAGTCCAATAATCGTTGTTGGAATTCCTCTCAGTCTCAGGATCTCCCGGAGTGATTCCCAATGCACTGTATCGAACTCTTTCTTGAGGTCGATATAGACTGCAAGCAGCCCGGGCCTGAACTCACGACGGCGCTCTACAATGACTCTAGCTAGAGAGACTCTAGTGACCTGCTCCCATCGTCGCTCTCGCCTCACAGACCACAAAAGCCTTATGCTTCTTATTTCACAAGTATTCCAATATGCGCTGCGCCCCGAACGTGATGACAATGACGAAGTGACCGTAGAACACACTCATCTAATTGCTCACATACATTTCCCATGTTGCTATTCTGATGTCTTCATGTATAAATATGTCGTGTTTATTTTAAAATGTTCCTCAGAAAATGCTTATTCTGAGTTACTATGGATGTAACCGCCTCACCATTGATATTCGGATGTTTTATGTTTCATGGATACTCCGCAATTCTGCCTCCTAACCACATTGTTTTGTGTTGTAAAACAAATCCAGTTTGGGTGAACCATACACAAGACATAAGGTTTTTCTTCTTCTTCTTCCTCTTCTTCCCCTCCCTCCCCCCTCTCTTTCTCTCTCTCTGTTTCTCTGTCTGTCTATCCTCCCTCCTCTCTCTCTCTCTCTCTCCTTGTTCTCCACGAAACATATGTGACCATATGTTTCCAAATTCGTGTTCATTCCAACTCTTTCATCTTCCCCATTGTGAACTGTTCAAAAACGAACTTTGTCCACGGCAGTTCCTGAGCCATCGCGACAGACCGCTCGCCCTCGTGGACTTGGCAGGCCGGGCACATCCTTGGGCGTCCCTGTCTTGCCCCTCCGTACCAGGTACCGGTAATACAGACGCGAACCTGCGACAATCGGCCGTTTTGTTGGAATTGTGCGAGGCCCGACCCAAAGAATATTCGTATACTTGACATGCATAAATAAGGATATAAATGCATATTTATCAGTCTACACAAGCATATCAACTCGGCAAATAGATGGATGAATGTATTATCTATCAGATATATAGATTGATATGCCTTTATTTCTGTATCTGTATTTAGGAACATTCATTGGGTCGGGCCTGGCACAATTTTAACAAACCGGCTGTATCTCCACTCCCAGAACCTTAACCTTACCGCCTCAGCCACACACCAAGTAGTGGGATATCGCCTCCCACAATTTTAGTAGTGCCAGCTAGTGGGATAGTCGTTTGGACAGAGAGAGGAGGGGGGAGAAAGGAGGGAGAAGGGAGAGGAGGGAGGAGGGAGGGAGGAGAGGAGAGAGAGGGAGAGAGAGAGAGAGAGAGAGAGAGAGAGAGAGAGAGAGAGAGAGAGAGTGAGGTGAGAGAGTGAGAGTGAGAGTGAGAGTGAGAGTGAGAGTGAGTGTGTGTGAGTGAGAGAGTGAGAGTGAGAGAGTGAGAGAGTGAGAGTGAGAGAGAGAGAGAGTGAGAGAGAGTGAGAGTGAGAGTGAGAGAGAGTGAGAGTGAGAGTGAGAGTGAGAGAGAGAGAGAGAGAGAGAGAGAGAGAGAGAGAGAGAGAGAGAGAGAGAGAGAGAGAGAGAGAGAGAGAGAGAGAGAGAGAGAGAGAAAGATAGAGATACCTGTGGCTTCAGAGTTTAAGATAACATCTATTTTTATGAATGAAAATGAATTTCATGCGCTAACAATCTACAGAAAATGTCAGTGATGCTTTTCAGGTTTTTGCAAACAAAAAAAAATAACTTTCATATATGGAAATCAGTAAAGCATGTTATGGGCATGGCAAAAGAACATGGCGTACCCTTGCTATCATTATTATCATCATTACACGGCATAAGGTGTCATCTGCATCATCATCCTGACAAGTAGATGTATGCAAAATGGTTTGATGATATACGAACAATATCATACGTGTATCATTTCTCGTTGTTATTATATCTTATACTTTGAGACAAAATACATTTTCAAAACTGTTTTTCTTGAGTGACCTTTCCCAGACATGAGTGGGGGGGGGGGGTCGGGGTGGGGGGCATGTTACGTGAGTAGGCACGTACCCCCCCGCTGCCCTACCCCTGAGCAAATCTATACAATGTTATATCATAATATGTCATCTTCGCGAAATGTATGTATATATATATATATATATATATATATATATATATATATATATATATATATATATATATATATATATATTGCCTTCCTGTTGGTTGGCGGTTAGTCCTTTTACATGAAAATAAATGATAAAAATACTAACTGATAACCCGGCCTTGAAATTCGAGGAAAGACTTAAATAAAATCTTCACTTAACATCCCGACTTTGACCTTGAAATTCGAATTTAAAACGCCGCAAAATCCCAAATCGCGTGGAGCCTTACTTAAAAATATTCCGAACAGTCACCCAAAATATGATCCACTCTAAACAAGGAAATGCTCACCTTCAGTTAACGGAATTAATTAACTGCCTCGACGTGGTCATCTATACTACACTACTTTACACACGAGACTGACGCTTCTTGACTTCTCAGGCTGGGCCATTGAAGGCTTCGATTATTGCCATCTACTGCTAGATTCTTGTCTTGTATTAATAACTCGATTATTCCCCTCAAATGAGGATTGTCGTGAGGATTATCTCCTTTAGAAACGTTTCAAATGGCTGATGTATATGGGAACTGTGATATTTCCGGATTATTCTATTGGATCTTTCAACCATGATATCGTAGGGAAAATAAAAGCAAAGAGCGAGACTCGGCAACGATCGATGTTATATTGGCGCTGACAGATACGACTACATGATCCGGCATTATCATTTTTAGACCTTCATTTGGCAGGGGGAGGCACGGACGTCGCTCAGTCGGTCGGCGATGTCACACGGATCTCATTAATGCCCCGCGGTGAAGCGAGAATGAACCGTGACGTGGTCTGGCGCTAGTAAAGAGGTTAGTCACACTGTTGTCATGAGTGTTGACCTGGGCTCCGCGCTGCCTCGCCTAACCACAGCTTTCCTCGTCCATAATCATTTATAATGAATGCACAAGCTGTAAATGAGGAACGTGTGGTTGAGTAAGTGGGAAATATACGCAATAGTCGTTCATGGATGTCTAAAATACGCATTTAAGGTAATGTAATGGCAAACTTACATATACCTGAAGTAACTGGTTTAAACCGCTTACTGATTCTATGTTAGGCATATATACTGTAATAGGTCAAGAAGACAATATGGCTGTGCATTTATTAACTTTGTCATCATCACCATTATGGTCTACTTTATTGTTATCATAACTATTATTGCTATTACTGTAATTGCCATCGTCAATTTTTTTATGATGATTATTATTGTTAATATAGATATTACTATCATTACAATAACAATAATAATGATTGTTAATATTGTAATACTGTATGCATTTTACAATTTTCAGTTCATTCATAATAACGTTTCTTTATACCACTTAACAGTTAATACCTCCTATACACGCAGAAAGCACCCAAGGATATACCTATTAGCACCCTCACAACCACAACCAGAGCGGCAAGTTGTGGAGTCGCCGAGACCAGAAAAGCTGTCCATCTGCACGAAAGAACTGAGAGAGAATTGATGATCTTATAACGAAGAGCAGCCGCCGAGAGCACCGTAAAATATGCGCCAAAGGAGAAAGTGTGATATTTGGATATAACATCTCTTAATAACCGCATTCATCGTTGATTTCGACAACATAGTCAAATAATGAATCTTTTTACGGCAAGTTTGTTACAATTACGCGAGGCCCGATTCAATGAATATTCACATCTACGGACATTCATATACATAAAAATTACTGCATATCTGTCTTATCTTATATATATACATATATATATATATCATCTATCATTTATCCGGTAGTTATTCTTGTCTAGAATAATAGATATGCATTTATTTCAGTGTATATGGATGTCCATATAGACGAATATTCATCAGGTCGGCCTACGCACAATTTTGACAAACCGGCCGTTAGACTCAGCTGTGAGAAAGACAAACTTTCCCTGAAGTCCCAAATACCGTAAAGATTTCTTATCAGATCTTAGGGGAAGTGAAAGGTGTCCTCGCTGACTTAGGGAAAGACTTCAGGGTGAGGAGGACACTGCCAGAAATTTCCAGGACAAATAGCGCATTATCAAGGCTTTTATCAGTCTTTTTCGTGTATTTTTTGTCCTCAGATTCAGGTTAACCAAAATTCTTCACGAAGCAAGCCGCCACAAAATATAAATTTGTCGTCGAAATATATCAGTCGCTTGTCGATCAAGACCAAGGCAAGAATACTGTCTGATATATATTTAGTGATTAATTTCAATCGAATGACCTTAGTTTAGAGTGTCTTAGACCAGTGTTGTCCAAACTGGGGTCCGCAACATAGATCATAAGAGTACGTGAACAAACAAGGAACACAGACACACACACACACAAACAGAAACATCACATGCTCTATGAATCATCTTTTTTTATTCGTGTTTTAAATTCGAATTTATCGACCAACGCCCCTGCAATCCAGTCTTTTCATAATTAGTATATTATTTGCTTTATCGTAAGTAAAACAGTTTGTTTAGCCATGCCGGACTGGGGGGGGGTACGTAAACAGTAACAGTGGGCGAAAATTTTCGGACAACACGAATAGTTTTCCCATAGGCCACGATTACCCACCGTCGACTACCTTCACAACCGTCGGCCAGCCGCAAGGGAAAGCGAACGAGTGTAGCAATATCATAGTCTCCCCTGAAAATATGCCCAGTCAGGAAATTTTGCTAGATTTTTATTTCTTTTTCTTCTGAAAACCCAAAAAAGTTCCCGACGAGGTACGTTTCAGGGGAGGCTATGATATCACTACACGAGTGCAAAAACCCCGTTCTTCTCCACCAATTAAGAGACCTCCATCGATGACATTCAAATCCTTGGAGAACCAGGGAGTGGAGTCGACCCACGCCACCTTAAGACTTCCACCTCGAAACTCCACAGACGAAGGGCCAGATCAAGGAGGAGAAGACGAAGACGAAGAGACAGTATTGGCCAAGCTGTTGCCTCCTCCGCCTCAAAGGTCCACAGAGGCAGAGGCGAGAACAAGGTGGAGAGTGAGACGAGGAGACCGTCACCTTCACCTAGATCAAGGTGGAGACGCGTTTAAGGCGAGGAGAACTGCTACCTTCACCTCGGTTAAAGTTGTGAGAGTAAATAAAAAGACAACATTATTCCCATGTTCTTTACAACGTGCTTGCGTCTCCGTTATATAGTTCAAGTGAGAGAACACGTGATTAAAAGGCGATTTTTAATATTGGATGATTTTTTCCAAGTTTACATCTAATTAGGGTTAAAACTTACCTGAATGATTCACAATTCACTCGTTTTAAATTCTTCCAAAATCCTCGTCTTGGAAATACATCTGTATGTCCTTCTCATTGTCTAAATGTAACGTTTTATTTGTTTTCTCATTTCGCACTTTCTACTAAAAAAAAAAAAAACTGTAAACAATGAACGAAGGGGATTGCAAGGGAACACAGGATTAAACCGTAGGTCTATTACTAATTTTGTTCAGGGCTGTACAGTGAAAGGGCCGTTGGTACATTGCAGTCTACGTTTTTCGTACTTATGACAGATTTTGGCAATGTGACGTGTATTTGCTACAACAAATGTGTGATTTAACGAAAATATGCGTAACATGTTACCAGACAATAAGTAATATGAATATAAGATACCAAATATGAAATTCTTTGTTAGTTCATGAAATTATACGTTTCAGGGTAAATGCGAATATGTGAGATCAAAGCTAACGGTTTAATCTTTCGTTCAAAAACGCTAATTTTCTTAGATAAGTAAACTGAAGATGAATACAGGTATGAGTTTAACATCATAAATTTCAGTAGTTCAACCGTGAAGCGACACTGCTTTTCATTAGACTTGTGTTGAACTTAGATGATAACGCTAAGGTAATGGGAAAAAAATACACACACACACACACACACACACACACATACACACACATGCATATGTCTCTCTCTCTCTCTCTCTCTCTCTCTCTCTCTCTCTCTCTCTCTCTCTCTCTCTCTCTCTCTCTCTATATATATTATATATATATATATATATATATATATATATTATATATATATATATCGTCCCATATTAATATCAAAGGAGGTAACGGATATAAAAACTCAATTAATAAACCCATTTATTTCCCGTAACCACAATTCCAAATGAATTGTTCGCCACGATTTCACGAACAACTATATCCGTATATCTAAACAATACTCGTCCAGTTAGACAGCAAATGTCCTGATCACCACATTCAGTAAAGTCACTGCCCTGCACACCGCGCGCGGGGAGAGAAGACCTCGACCGTGGTGGTGAGAATGGTGATGAGGCCGCCGTTTCTTTCCTCCTTCGGTGTACGTGTTCGCCGCCTCGTACCCCTGAAGGAGCCACGTCAGGAGGTGTGGTGGTTTGAGGGGTCGTTTAAGTCGTTGGGACACTTCTATGAGAATATATATATATATATATATATATATATATATATATATATATATATATATATATAATATTTATTTATTTATATTATATATCTCTCTCTCTCTCTCTCTCTCTCTCTCTCTCTCCTCTCTCTCTCTCTCTCTCTCTCTCTCTCTCTCTCTCTCTCTCTCTCTCTCTCTCTCTCTCTCTCTCTCTCTCTCCTCTCTCTCTCTCTCTTCTTTCTTTTTTTTTTGTTACAAGATGGGAGTTCATTATCATGGGACATTGCATTTTAATTAATATCCAAATTTAGCGGAGTAAATTCATTCATATGACATACAAGGAAAAGCATTAACATTTTGTTTTTCCGTTTTAATTTTCGATAATGTAAGTGTGTTTCCTTTGCCTCACTTATTTCATTGATCATATCTTTACTAAAAGAAACTGGTTATAGTTTTAATGAAAATCCGTGTTAATTTATTGATCTTTAAATGATGGTGATATGAAACTACATTTGTGTTTGTAACTAAAATTGAAAATCTTTTTATCCTGTGACTCGCTTACCCGCCCTCTCCCCCCTCCCCCCCCTTCACCGCCTCATAAAAATGGTCTTATATGAAACCTAATATAAAGAAAACGCTAACTAGTCAAATTTCGAGTCAAAGTAATCAAGTAAAAATACCACAGCATCTTAACTGACATTTTCCCTATGTCTTCGAGCCTGTATGTCATTCCAATTCACTCACACATTACTGTTTAACATTACTTTGTAAGCATTTCTCTTTGTTGTATATCATGCATTTCCTATCTTTCACTATCGTCTTAGTTATCTCATCGATATATATATAATATATATATATATATATATATATTATAATATATATATGTGCGTGTGTGTGTGTGTGTGTGTGTGTGTGTGTTGTGTGTGTGTGTGTGTGTGGTGTGTGTGTGTGCGTGTGTGTGTGTGTGTGCGTGTGTGTGTGTGTGTGTGTGTGTGTGTGTGTGTGTGTGTGTGTGTGTGTGTGTGTGTGTGTGTGTGTGTGTGTGTG